AATGAAAAAAACTGTTTATTATTGTTTATTAAAATTAACTACTTAGCATATACTACAATTACTGGTGTGCATGTGAAAAAGTGGTTTGTGAACCAGAACTTTCCTACCTATTATGTATTACACTTGCTAGTATAAATACAATGCAGCATGAAACATTGTATCCAAGTCTAGGTTGTGTACCATTACATTGATATGTGAAAAATAACAGATTTACAACAGAATTTTCTAACTTTATAAATTATAAATCGTATTAAATAGCAGTCCATCAATACATGTGGAAAGAATTAGGGTGTACTTAAAATTCCATAGTTTTATCTCGAAAGTGACGTGTAGTATTTCAAATGCCTAACTTGTTTCGGTTCACAGATGGCAGTCCTCGCATACGTGGTTGCTCCAACCTTAAAGTCAATCCCGATGAGCAAACTTATTTTATCTGTGAATTCAGTGGAAATCCGGTAATAGGATCAGATGCAGTAAAGTTATGGAAGTCCGGATCCACTAATTATGTGTCGCCAACTAGTTATAAGATAGAGAATAAATACAAAGTGACTGTGAATTTCAGTGGCATCATAGTTACTGAAGTGGACATATTTTATTATGGTGTTCCAGATATTGGACTTGCAGGACAAATAACAGTGAACATATATGGTACGTTCCAATACATTGTATTTAATTAAATTGCCAGTATAATGAATAGTATATATTGAATTTATATTTAATGCATAAATAATTCATTCCCGTAATTAAACAGTAGCGTAATCAAGGGAGCGATTGCTACATTTCATTAACATGCAATAGCTCAAAAATAAGCCGCAATCAAGAGGATACAACGGAATCTGGATTAGTTCCATGCATGACCGATATGTGTTTTTATGGGGTAAAATTGTTGAAATTGAGTAGTATACTCGCCTCTGGGGTGGTTATTACTTATATATTATACCTTTTCAAGTGAATGCTTAGACTCAGAAATAATAAAGAAGCGGAAACCATGGTTGTACACATGTGATACAACCCCGACAAGTTTTACATTACCGTGAAAAATAAAAAAGTTTTCCTGAACTGCAGCTTTGATATATGTAAGATCATCGCAGTTGACAAAATGTTAATACATGACGCCGATTGACGCCGTGCGCCCGATGTGGTTTCAAAATCGACAAAACTTTCGGAATCAAGAATTATCCTCTGTGAACGATAACCCTTTTAGTGTCGTTTGTGTAAATCTGAACAGTTATGTCTCTCGTGCTTCACTTTTGTTTCCAAAATACCCACAGGGCACATACTTTATCACGCCCTACGTCTGTCCGTATTTGTTGACAGACGGATTTAATCATTAACGTTAGTGCCCTACTTCTAAACACAGAAAACTGTGTTACAATTAAAAACACGCCCTAGACAAATCTATTCCCTGAAACGCTGGTATAATGACTAACAATCAGTCTAGCTGGAAAAAATTAATATCCCGGGTGTATAACCTCAACTTTGACAAATGTATCATTCTTCCTAATCACTGAATCATCTGTTGAAATACTTGAAATACTAAACATCACACCAATGTAAACAATGTATTTTATTAATAATAGATTATTGTTTTACAAATGCATTTTTTTATATTTATTAAGAGCTTCCTGAATTCCATGAGAGTAACACCCCAATAGTGTTCGAAGATACTAGGCATTCAGATCAGCTTACAGTGACTTGGAATGCATGGAATACTACTACTGATTATGGAAATGGACCAGTTGAGTCATATAAAGTTTATTACAGAGAGAGTGATAGCAGTGGCTGGACATCAGGTCAGGTTATACCAGTCATCGACACGAGTCAGATGACCTATATATCAACCATCACAGGATTACATTGGTCAACCGAATATGAAATTACAGTGACTGTTAAAAGACTGGGACTATTTGGAGAAGGAAATAAACGCGTGACAACTACATCGACTACACTATGTGCAAGTAAGTGATGATTACACATGTTTTCTATTTATATTCCAAACTATTTTTGTCAGTGTCCTTGATTATGCCAAATGCCAACATATATGAACTACAGATACCATAGTTCTGATAACACTGAAACCAACACTAACAATTGGCAAAAGTAATTTTCCATATTAGTGAATGTATTTGAACTATGCCTAAAATTCATTTGTAGTTTTGGAAAAAAAAAACATTTTTACTATGCGTTTCAAATATATGTTTAGGCATCTGATTTTATGAAGTTGCTTTTGCTTGATCGGATCATGGTATAACATAGGCCAAACACAATTGCAAAAATTGTAAAGATTGATTACTGCGGCTTTTTACCAAGCAAATTTAATTTGATATATAACATTCATTAAAGCAACAAATATCTTCATAACATAACATAAATGTTGTCATTGAGTTGAAACCCCAACAAAATAATAAATATTATTATTATGAGTTGTAATTTTAAGTTGTCATAATCATAGTTTCTACACTGTAAAGTACTTTCATGTTTTTCATTTTCTAATTAAAAGCAGGCTTTTAATTGAACACATGTATATTATATTATAAAAGATCTGTATTTTCTATCAAAACATTAGTGTTTTAGTATTATTGAAATATTGTTTGTTAATTAAAACACTTTTTGATGAAAATTAAGCACATTGTAAACACACGAAATACACCTTTTCAAAATAAAAAAAAACTGCGTTTTTTACGGGGACATAATTGAGTCAATAAAGTGGTTATTGATAGAACAATGCAACGAATGTTACGCCATTAGTACTATCAACATTGAGTGAAATTAACTATTGTCTGAGACTCGGGACTCGAAAGTCGACATTATGGTATATATACCATCATATGGCCATAACATTATATTATTTAGAAAAAATAATGATGTTAAGACTTTTCAACCACTTTTATTCGAAACTGTTTTATTTTGAGGTGCTTCAAAAAACAAACCAAAATGCAATGTTTCAAACTAAAACACTCGACTATGCATGTTTCACAAGTGTTTATGTTAACAACATATTTCTGTTTAATTGCATTTCCTTCAATCATACAATTATTAACTTATTCTTAGACGTGAGAATAATAATGCAATTCACACATCATGCCCCAGTATATTCTTTGATAATTCTTTGTTTAAATCAAATATCTATCAAATTTTATACAGTTTTCCCAATTCATAATGTGAAGAAAGTTAGTCATGTGACGACAATTTACCTTCCAGCTGTACAGTGATGCACATCGGCTTTCACAAAAATCGGAAACCTAACTGATACGTTCAGCAAAAGTACAAGGCCATATTACTAATTTACGTTTTTTAAGGTGTAATCAACTAAATGCAACTCACCCAGTACAGCATACGTTCAATTTTAACATAACCATTTATATATAATTTAATCATTTATAGAACCAAATCATCCAATTATAACAAGCATTGCATCAACTGGGCTGACACGAATAACAATTGAAATACAGGTTTGTTCTTGATTTCCATTATATATTCTATATTAATATACATACATTTTGCCGTATTCACAAGCTGTTTTGTTAAGTTAACTGACTATTTAATTTCTAATTCTACAGTTCCCTTCAATCGATGACATAAAATGCAATTATAATGGTACAAACGGATACGTAGAGTTAATCAAAGTGAAATTGAAGCGGGCAAACAGTGAGAATATCTACCAAACCAAAATTATTTATATTTCGGGTCAAATTAAACGAATACATTATTTTGATGTTATTGACAACACATTGCTACCTTATACAGAATATGATGTGATAGTTATACTTGAAAATCGTGATGAAGAGAGTGATTCCAGTGGCAAAGCGATTGTAAGAATGGTTGAAGATGGTATGCATCTATTACATGTTAACATTATTGTTAAAAGTACAACATACAGCAATAATCCAAATAACAAACAACCAAATGAAATATCTTCTCGTAAATAGCGTATTTTCACTAAAATACTTGAAAACAAGCATTAGATTTATTAATTTATATGGCTTTAAATTAGATGGACCTTTTTTGTTTTATTTCAGTTCCATCTCAACCAAGAAATGTAACTTTAGATCCAGCTGTGTTCTTCATTACTGTGCAATGGTTGATACCAGAGCCTGCAAATGGTAAAATAACGGGATATCAGATAACGTATCGGATTTAAAATGACCCAAGTACACTCATATCATTGGAAATAACGAATGATCTATTAGATGTCATGAAGTACCAGATAACAGACCTGGAATACGATGTCAGATATTCTGTAAAGGTATCTCATTTTGGTACTCAAAGGACATTGAATCATATTGCAAGTTTTACAATAATTATGCCTTCAGACAATGAATTGAAATACAGCCTTGCTGCTACCTTGGATGTATGTGCTTACAATTACATGTTCTTTCATTAACATATCCCTCTATAGGTTAGTTACCCTATATCATACTGATTTTGTCTTCCATTACTTATACAGGTTGTGTCAAAATTTTGATTAATATTGCATGTATCTTTACGTTGCATTAAATACCAGGTAAAAGCGTCAACTAGTGTTGGATATGGTATTGCAAGCTCTGAAGTAAGCATCACAACAGCTGAGACAGGTATGTCTAATATTAACCTAGTAATTCTTTCATTTC